AGCATGTGTGTGATTCTGGGTTCAATCTCTGGAACTGCAAAAGCAAAAATACCTCAACCAACCACACACACACACACACACACACACACACACACACACACACAGAAAGGTTTAGAGATGATTCTCTGAATTTCAATAAAACTAGACTTAAGATAAAAGTAATGATTAATTTCCCCCAAAATTAAGATTTTGGAATTCTTTACAGCTAATTAAATGTGGAACTGCTTCATCATCACCACAGACTTTATGGTCTTACTTAGTATAGGAATTATATAGTTTGCTTCTATCTCATAAAGGTTTATTTTAGCAATTCAGATGCTAACATTAACTTTAGAATAGAAAAAATATATATAGGTTTTGGGTCAATGTACTTCTCTTTCTTCTAGGTTGCTTTACCAAATATCTTAATAGGGGATACATGATCTCAACAACTGATTCCAGTCGGATTTGTTCAGTTTTCAACTGATTTGCTTTCATTCATGTGATTGTGGAAGTTTGTTTTTTGTTTTGTTTTTTTTTTGACAGGGTCTCATTTTGTAGCCCAGGCTGCCTTAAACTCAAGGTCCTTCTGCCTTAGTTTCCTGAGCACTAGGATTACAGGTGTGGATCACCATACTCAGCTTTCTGGAACACTTTCAAAGAAAACTAAGGACATTTCATAATTCAAGACCAATAGGGATTATAGAGAAATTGCAAATACAGATCCTGAAATGCAGAAGTAAAAGAAAAAGTAATCCTGGAGTTATACAGAGGATGATCTTGGATTATGTCTACAATGCCAGGCTTTTGATCACATTGGTGATAATGAATTCCATACGTTAGGTGTAAAACAGCACATTTCTTTATTGAATACAGATTCTAACAGAAGGCCAATTAGGCACCCAAGTAAGACTACATGAGAAAGCCTACTGGAGTTGCTCTTCACCATAGACTTAGCAGCACTCAGCTCAGTGTCATCAGACAGAAAAAAATGAGAAATCTTAACATCATTTGTTTATTAAAAAACACATTTAAATTTTTCATATGATCACAGAAGAATGAACAAAAAAGGATATGTCACCCAAATATTAAGTAAAAGCTACCAGACAAATTAACTTTTAAGAAAAAAAATCATGTTAGAAAATTTCTTTAAAAATTCAAAATGTGAAGTGATGGAATAATTCAAGTATCCTTTGTGACCTGGGATTCCTTTCATTTTTATACTATCTTGGAGAGACAAATGGTTATTTTTAAAGTGTAATTAATTCCTAGCAAGTGTACAGTTTTTTGTATCAAGAACACAGATATTACATATGAATTCTTGCATTAACTAACAGTCAAGCTTTAGTAGTTCTATATTCTTTCCAAATTTTAAACACTATTGACATTATTTTAATTGTCAGGTTCTGAAATGTTATCATTCGCTGGTAAATGGATGGAATTGGAGAACATCATTCTGAGTGAGGTTAGCCTGGCTCAAAAAACCAAAAATCGTATCTTCTCCCTCATATGTGGACATTAGATCAAGGGCAAACACAACAAGAGGATTGGACTATGAGCACATGATAAAAGCGAGAGCACACAAGGGAGGGATGAGGATAGGTAAGACACCTAAAAAACTAGCTAGCATTTGTTGCCCTTAACGCAGAGAAACTAAAGCAGATACCTTAAAGCAACTGAGGCCACTAGGAAAAGGGGAACAGGTACTAGAGAAAAGGTTAGATCAAAAAGAATTAACCTAGAAGGTAACACCCACGCACAGGAAATCAATGTGAGTCAATGCCCTGTATAGCTATCCTTATCTCAACCAGCAAAAACCCTTGTTCCTTCCTATTATTGCTTATACTCTCTCTACAACAAAATTAGAAATAAGGGCAAAATAGTTTCTGCTGGGTATTGGGGGGGGGAGAGGGAGGGGGTGGAGTGGGTGGTAAGGGAGGGGGTGGGGGCAGGGGGGAGAAATGAACCAAGCCTTGTATGCACCTATGAATAATAAAAGAAAAATGAAAAAAAAATTGTCAGGTTCTTGTTGCTACAATCAAGGTGGTATGGGTACACTAAAATAATGAAATATTCTTTAAAAAAAATAGTAACTAAGACATTAGCCATAACTTTTATGGCCTTCAATTATATTTGTGAACATCTAGCTATTTTTGCTCAGAGATGCTGCTATATGTCAGGTTTCATTGATTCGCAGCAATGTTCCTTTTTATGTTGTTCTAGTCATGTCCAGGAATGAGATATGATGTATGAAAAATGCTCTCCCTTACTGCCCTGAGACCAAGTTGGCTCAGCTTTAGAGATACTTTCCAGATATAAAAATACTTAGATGTGCAAACTACAGAAGCATAAGGCCTTGGAGTTACGGCAATTACATTTTCTTCTCTCACCAAAAACAACTTTACAACATGTTTGTATTTTACTATACAACTGTGCTAGCTACGTTCTGTATTAAGTAAAATGCCAAGAAGAAGTCTGGTAGTAATTTAGGTACATTTATTGTAATTACGATAAAATAAAAATGCTATCGCACGAGTTCTGCTATTTACAAACGATCCATTTACATACATGCAAACTAACCTCAGTATTAATGGCAAAACCTTAGGGTTTTAAAGTGGCACATTACCTCCTGCCTACCCACCTCAAAATATTCCCAACCCCACAATGAGACTTCAAAAGCAGTATTTTGATTTGTGAAGAAAAAAATGAGTATTTCTAGTACCCATTTTCCTTCCCTTGTAGCTTTGGGAGAGTAGGAACACATGAAATCTAATGCACAAGCTAAGGCCATAAGACACTCTGGGACCCACATTCACATTTGGCCAGTGAAGTGGCTACAGTGAGTCAGAAGAGCTTTGTGCCAATTACTAAACTTTTGTATTAGCACTGTGTAAAAGTGACCCTCTTCAGACAGATACAGCCTTCAGGAGAGAGGGGAGGGGAGAAGAGGGGAGGAGAGGAAAGGAGAGGAGTGTGCTTTTAAATTGTCCATCAAGCTTAAAACCATTCTCATCTTTGTTTCATTGCTAAGCAACTTAAAAGTTAAGAGCACACAAATGCTAATATATCTGCAACTACTTATAAATAATTGCCTTTTGGATAAATGGTTACAGCATATAGAGTCTTCTAAGGAATTGTTTTGGGTTCAGTCCTTTGAACAGAGAGGATGGTGTGTCAGTAAGCACATCTGCCCCTTCTAAAGATCTCCTTCTCTCTCAGCCTGCAGTACAGCGAGGCCAGTGCCTCTCCCTTGGCAGCTTACTTCACAGCAGCATGGCGACACCAGGGTTTCCAGGGTAATTTCCTCATTTATCCTTCAACTCTCACTGAGATTACACAAAATTAGCATTTGGCTTCCTTCCAAGTATTACATTCATCACATATTCAGGATATGAAGCATCCCATATAGAGACTGCAGCATCCAAAGGAATAAGCATGGTGTATTTATACAATACACACTACCAATTTTATAGTTGTCCTTTTATATTCCAATGTTATTAAGCACACTATGATGAATGGAAAATGCTATAGATCTAAAAATACATTGTTGAAAGAAGGCTAAAATTGATTTTTATATAATACAATCTATAACTTCAAATAGAAAATGCTACACTTAAATATCTTCTAAATTAAATATCTTCTAAATTTTAATTCAAGGATTTATATTTTTAAAAGTTATGTATAGTTAGTTTCAAATTAGTATTTTTAATGCTTAGATTGAATCTATGTTTCTTTTTAAAACTGAAGTCAGGCAATAATATGATTTTAAAATGAGATTCCTGAAGTCAAAGAACTCTGTCTTCAGACAACCTTTCTCTTTAACCCATTGCAGTGAAGTAACTTCCTTAAAACACAGGCTACCTTTTGTTTGAGTAGTTTCTATTTAGAGAGGTGCATTTTATTTGGGCTTCATTGCATTTTTTTTCTGGCTTTTGGAATCCTGTAAGTTATTCTGACCTTATAGCAGGTTGTAGCATATTATCTGTCCAAATAAACTGTTCATTGTATGCTGCTGTCAAATATTTCACTGAAATATGATCTAAAGGGAGAGATTATGCTTTTGCTTAAAGTTCCCTTAAGTGTAACACTTGCCAGGTTTGTATTTTTTATTCTGTATTCCTAATTATGTGCTATGAGTGAGGATAATTCAAGTGTTTCAGAATCACCTACTGCCAAGGTTCTGGAAAATGTCTTCTGCAAAATGGAATGTTGATGCTTTGAGGACTGCATTATACCTGCATTGCATGCTCATTTTGCTTTTATGGAATAAGAAGGTAAAGGGTGATGCTTCTTGTAACTAATGTGGTAATGCCACACTACTGTCCTAACACTGTCAGCCAGCAAAGATAGAGAACCTTTTCTTTTTCTGTTTTTAGTTATGTATAATTGTATATTGTTAATTTATAAAAAATAACTAGCATAAACTAAGAAGGGGCAGCCTGATGAATAGTTAAGATTTTTTTGTGTGTGTATGTGTGTGTAATCTTATAAAAGTACTCTAGACCATGAATGTCTGTATTGAAATGAATGGAAATAACATTTCTTGAGAAGTCTCTAAAATGAACAATATTTTAATAGACACTTTATTTCTTAAATATCTCTTTATTTTAAGCTCATTTGTGGTAGGGAACTGTTAAATAAGATAAACTTTTGGTCTGTTTATTTATCCTGCTACCAAGCTTGAGACTGAAAACGCTCGTTCTTACTCCTATTTTCAAAGAAATAGTTGGTTATCTTGATTTCTGTCTTAGTAATAACCAGCTGCAATAACCACTATTTCACAGTGCGCATGCACACACACAAATACCCAAACGTGGACAAAGAATCACAATAAAATAAAAAGGCCTAAACTTCATTCCAGAGAGTTAGTCAAGAGCTGTGACTTCTTTCTCCATTTTATAAGACATTTTGCAGGGCTACAGAGTTCCACTTGTACAATTTCTTGGTAAAAATTAGGGTTTTTTTTGCATATGCAACTATAAACTCCAAAGGTAGACAAATAAGAACTATGGTACCAGTGAGTTACTTTTGGCTATTTCTGTGACAAGGATCAGGTGAGAAAAATCAAGGCTGCATCTTAAGAGCCCTTCTGAACGGCTTATCCTTTGCAGCTACGGCTAGCTGTCGGCGACGCCATGGATATTGTCCATATGCACTTTGAGGTAGTCATTCCTCGTAAACTTCTTATGGCAAAACTGGCATTCTGCCAGTGGGCGATTGGGGTTATGAGTCATCTTGTGTCGGATCAGCATTTTCTTCAGGCTGAAGGCCAAGTCACACACCTAGAAAAGACCCAACGATGCCAAGCACGTTATACCACGTATACAACGGAGACCTCCGACACACCAACTTACCACCTACATGCACCATGAAAACTCCTGCCTTCAAAGGTGTACTAACAAGAACAAAATTGCTCTCGAAATAAGTAGAATTAAACATCCAAACTAACAGGTGCAGAAATCAATGAACAGTTCCAAAGGGTTTCCTGTACCTGCCTTTGTTCTTCACCACAGTCACCCTCTTCCTCCCCCAGCTCTAGCCTTGAACAGCCCGAGAGACATGACTCCCTGGAAACATACCTTCCTTATCCTAACAGAGTCCATTTATAATGTTTAAAAGACTCTTAAGCAAAATGCCTTATGGTCCAGATGGCATCTCTCCGTATGGCATCCGTGGCACAAGACCTTTCTCACCAGTGATCTCTTCCATTCATTACCACTTGTGATGTCACTGGTTAACACCACTTTATGCATCATATGTGGAAATTTATGGCCACTATTTCATTTCCTTAGTTCTTATTATATATATTATTTAACTGAGGAAATCTCTGCCACAATGTCATCTGGCTCAACATCTATTAAACAGTGCGATAATTAAAATATTAAATTTACATAGAATCTGTAAGGCATAATCATTTAAGTTATAAAAGGAAATGAGATGGAATTCAAAGTCTGATGTTACAAAAATTCAAGTTACACAAAACTCTTTAAAAGCATATACAGCTCTGAAATAAGACATAAATAATGTGGAAACACCATGAAAAGCATAATGAATATACTGAGAAGTAAAATGGCTTGTAAAAATACTCTAAAGAAAGCTAGAATTCTGAATGAGGTGAAGCTGTGAAAATACACAAATAAAAAAGTGCTCTCTCCATGTGGGAAGGAGCATTTGCATTCATAGCAATAAGAAATTCAGAAAGGCATAAGCCCCTAATTTGGTAAGAAGGAGGAATAATCCAATAATAATACATTTTAATTTATACATAAATAATAGCATAGTGCAGCAGAAAGAAAACAAGCTTTATAATTAAATCACTTTTCAAGGAAGTTTGCCGACCTGCCATCCTCTTTGAATCCCTTTTCTCTGCTCAAATTTATTTTTTGTATAGTATGTGTCACTTTCTGATGCTCTACCATTTACTTACTAATTGTATCTTTTATTATGTGTCTCTACTCACTAGATGGCAGGGATGTCTCTGAGTCTTATTCACTCATGCATCCTAAGGGACAAGACAATGTCTACATTGCAGATAAGAAGGATGTGGTGAAGAAACAGCTTGAGTTTGATTTCTGACTCTTTCCCTTACTAAGAAATATAAATGGACAAAGTATTCTTCTTAACTTCAGCTCATGTGCCTGTAAAATGACAATAATGGTAGTTACCTCAGTTTCTATTAAGTAAGAGGGTCTATAAAAATTGGTGTTACCTAAAAAATTAACCAGCATTTGTTGCCCTCAACGTAGAGAAACTAAAGCAGATACCTTAAAAGCAACTGAGGCCAATAGGAGAAGGGGACCATGAACTAGAGAAAAGGTTAGATCAAAAAGAATTAACCTAGAAGTAACACACATGCACAGGAAATCAATGTGAGTCAACTCTCTGTATAGCTATCCTTACCTCTACCAGCAAAAACCCTTGTTCTTTCCTATTATTGCTTTTACTCTCTCTTCAACAAAATTAGAGATAAGGGCAAAATAGTTTCTGCAGGGTATCGAGGGGATGAGGGGGAAAAGGAGGGGGTGGAGTGGGTGGTAAGGGAGGGGGTGGGGGCAGGGGGGAGAAATAACCCAAGCATTGTATGCACATATGAATAATAAAATAATAAAAATTTAAAAAATTGGTGTTATATTGAGACAGTCAATAAATATTAGTGACTATCGTTCCTCTTTTATCTTCTCTAACAAGAAGTCTCATTGACAAATTGGAAATTACAGACTACTGTTAACAGCAGAGAGCCAAAAGTCACCAAAGGAGGATTTCAAAGAGAGCATAGCAATTCTAAAGAGTGGCAGGACCCTGGAATATATGAGAGATTTTGTAAGCAAATAGGATAATTCCCCAGAACAAACACAACACTTCCAATTAATCTCAGGAAACAACATGTCTTTTGGAATAGCTTATATGCATAAGCTTTGAAATCAAAATTAGAAATAGACTGTATACATTTTAAGCCACAGTAAAACAAAGCCAAGTTGCTGTAGTAAAAGTCAGGGGGGGAAAGGAAAGACCAGGAAACATGAAAGAGCATAAGATATGATGATTATAAAATCCATGAATTAAGTTATTAAGTATCCTTATTTAAAATCAAGACTGAAATTAGGGGAAAAAGCAAAATGCAAATACGTACCCTGTTAAGATGTACATTTCAAAAAAAATAACATACACACAAACACAATTTAAAGGGGGGGCTAGAATGTGCATAAGAGTGTACAGAAGATGCTCAAAAGTGTCTTAGACAGAGAGAGCCCTCCAAGAACCAGAAGTACCACCTGTACAAATATCTCCTACAAGATTTATATACAGGATGATTACATGGCATTATTTATAAAAGTGAACAATTACAAATTGCTTACTTACCCAAAATTAATGGATTTACTCATATTGATATGATCCGATAAGAAAATATTTTGATTGTTAAAAAAGATCATACTTTCAAAAATATTTAAAGACAAGAGAAAACATAAAAGGAAGAAAATAATAAGATCACTGCAATTTAGTCTACAATAATGAAATAAGGGCAATAATAATGTCAACAGATTAAAAGTATAACAGTTTAACAGTTACATTTCCTGGTTGGGAAACTAGGGATTATTTTATTTCTCCTCATTTGTTTCTGTATAGCTTCTTCTTCTTTCTTTAAGTTTTGGTGAGGATTTATTTTAGTATAAAGTATAGACAAGGGGTGTGGAAGAGAAAAAGAAAGAGAAATATTTCCAATCCCTAAGCAGGGATGGGAGCAAAGACTCATCCTCTTGTTTCTGGCATTAAAAAGTAAACTTTTATAGTCAGAAAGCAAATATTATTTTGGAATAAAAAATACAGGAAGCTGAATGGTGGCTCCATGTGGTCATCCTCCATGGAGCAGCAAGTCTACTCACCGTGGACTTGTGCTCTAAACTCTGAACAATTCTCTGGGGATTACTGATGACCTCCCCTTCACTAGACCCGATGGGCACTCCTGAGCCCTCATTTAACATAATTCTCAGCCTCTGGTGACAAGCGTAATGATCATCCCCCGCCTTTCTTTTTGTTTCCATTTTGACCTACTATCATTGTTTTCCTTCTAATTCACAGGCCCTTTTTCCCCTTCATACAGCAACTCCTCATCTTAACCCTGAAGTTTGGATCTCAGTGCTTGACCCTTGTCCTCTTCCCATTCACTAGATAATCTTAATCATACTTAGGTCTTTGTTATCACTTATTTGGGGATGACTTGCAAATATTATCTCTAATTCAGTCATGTCTCTGGTCTCGATAATGGAATATTTGACCGCCTACTCAGGTAACTTACTGGTACACCAAACTTAGTATGTTTAAAACAGAACTCAGAATCTTTGTTTCTCAAATATAATTCTTCAAAATGGTTTCTTCCCACTGGTTTGACCTACAAATCTGGCAGCCAATCCTGGCCCAAAGTCTTCCAACTCCCCATCTCATCAGTTACAGTTCCACCACTTCTTCCTTGTACACACTTCTCAAAGACAAGAAGATATCCATTTTGTCTCTATTTCCACTCCTACCAGATAATTGCTTAGACCACTGCTTCTCCATCACAAAGAAAATGTTTCCATGATCTGTTATTTATATTTTTAAATATAACATATATACGCATTACACTATTTATACATTTTAAGAGGATGTGATAAAGAGTAATATTTTAGTGTTAAATTAAAAAATTATAGCTTCTTATTTTCAAGTAGGCAGTATTTTAACGTGTTATATATATATATATTTAGGGTCAAAATCACCTTTAATAAGAGATAAGGCAAATACTTATTTTGAATGTCTCTGTCAGTTTTTGGGATTACTTCTTGTCATATGATGATATCAATATTGTATTTTATATCAAATTGCTGATGCCTAGTAGCATGAAATCTGCTGCTTTCTCTCACCGTATGTTTCTATTATTATTTTGAATTTGTGGTTTCTGTATTGGGCTTTTTCTGCTGAATTTGTAAAGCCCATTTGAAAACAGGTAACAGAATCACTATCTCTATTAACCAAAAACATGCAAATTGCATTTCTAATGATGTACTTAAAACAAACTAGTGGACCAGGACTGTTAGCCAATCATGACCCTATTGATAATGCTACCTTCTGATAACATGCATTACCGTACTTCAAGAGACTGACAACGCCAAGTGAGGACATGAAACTTAAGCACGCTTTTAAAGGTAATAAAGCCCAATTATGTTCTTATTTTTAAATACAAAATAAACAGGAAACAAAGTTGTAATCTGTCCTGTCCGTATCTCAATGGATATGACGTATGCCTCCTGGGATATCCATCTCCTCACCCTGGAAATTAAAGCCTGGGTTATTGTAGTAACCAACTTTATTCATTCTGTATGGGTGATACAACTTCCTCTCCCTGCAGGAAAAGTGGTTTTGTTTTTGTCTTTGTTTACTGTACTAAGGTGTGAAATTGGGGCCTCATACTTACTCTCCACTTGAGCCACACCACCCTGTAGGAAAGGTTTATGGGGAGTGTTTCACTGTCCTGGCAAGTGGAAATTGCTATTGGTGCTGTAAACAGGGACAGGAATACAGATACAACATGTGGGACACTCTCAGGAAACAATGAAAGTGCCCAATTGACATATACTACCGGAATCTTCTTGGATTCATCCTCCATCCTCCTCCAGGAGTATGAAGTTGCAGTCCATGCTCCAACAACAGTTTAAAGAATTAAAAAACATATAAATGTCATATTATTACCTAAAATTCCTATGTGGTTTCTTATTGCTTTTAGGGTAATCACTGAGCTTTGGACAAACTA